ACAAGGTTTCGACCAAGTTACGGATCGACCGCATTTTTTTTTTTTGAATTTTTATTTTATTTTACTTTACCTTTCGAGTCTCTTTGATTTTCCTCAATGAATTATTATTCTCCTTTAGTAGCTTTGAATTTCCTGTCCCCCTTTCTTTCTAAGCCCCTCTCTTCCTCTCGCTATCCTTTGAGGAAAATAAAATAAAATAAAATATAAATTTAAATAATAATCATACTCATAAAATTAATCTTCATAATTAAAAAGGAAGAAAAAGAAGTAAAAGTCCCGAGATCCTCGATCCCGAAGTGTAAGTAGGCAATTCATTGATTATTACGCACTGGGCCACTCTCGCTTTCTTTCAGGTTTACTTCCTTTCTTTCTTTCATTGGTATCGCTCTCCATTTGGCTCCAATTTTCTTCTTCTTAATTATTTTCACGCCCAAGGTTTCATTGCGACGAAGTACCTTACTTTACTTTCTCCCTTTTCCAACCTTTCAACGTGTTCTGGAAGAGGTTTCTCCTTTCCCTGGAATACTATTAGTTATCAACTTGATCTGGAATTTATATTTCCATTATTATTATTATTATTTTATCATTGGTTTTCATTTTTATTTTTATTTTTATTTTTTTTATCTTTTCTCCTATTAATATTGTCTTTTATAATACCTCCTTCAGACCCGTGGGCGGAGACGGTCCTTGTCCCCGTGGGCCAATTTACCCTCAACCAACCCTGCGACATACTAAACAACTATTCCCTCCTGCTTTGACGACTGCCACGACGACGACGAAACAAGTAAAAATAATACTTACACCCTTAGTGCGGTTCCTCCCGACCACGAGCTAATCGTGTGAAACCGACTCTGGATTGCCCATCCTTCATTCTCTGGATTGTTGTTGGTTAGCATCGCCTGCGCGCACCAGATTGACTGTGGAGTAACATTGCGAAACGGCGAAATCGGTCTACGTACGACAACTTCACCAGCCAAAGCAACACACTTCACCGATCGCCCCCAGATTCCCGCGCGCGGTGTGTCCCTTTTACTGTCTGGATCTTCAGTCCCTGCGCTTTGCGCTCTGCATGGGTGGACTTTCGTTCTCCAGTCACTACTAGTAGTCTTCACGCGCCTTAGGGATCGAGTACATCTCACCCATTTGACTTACTTTTTTAACTAAATCTCGTGTGCGATTCATGCGCCCTTCCTTTCGGGGCTCTAACTCTCTGTCTTGCTCCTTGGAGCTATGCCTGCGGTTGTCGGAACTACTATGACTTCGACACCCACTTCGCAAACTGCGATCATGGAATCCTCAACAGCCGCAGATAAGAAGCGCAATAAGCTCGGCTATCATCGCACGTCTGTCGCATGTGGTCAGTTTCTCTTTTCCGCCCCTGAGTGGTATCGCTATCCTCTCGTAAACCTCGGTTGCTTATCATTCCACAGTGCATTGTCGGCGACGAAAGATACGATGTCTGGTGGCGGCAGACGACGCTCAAGGTCGATGTGAGAATTGTATTCGACTGAAAAAGGAGTGCCAATTCTTCCCAGTTGATCAGCAGCCGCAAATCGAAAAGAAAGCTCGCCCAGGTTCGAACACGGCGTCGACCGATCCATCAACGGCCTCGTCCTCCCCACCGGCAGTGAGCGGGGGAGAACAAACCGAGGCCTTTTTCCCCTACCAGCCAATACCGTTGAGTTCCGCTCCAGATGTCGCGGCGTTCAACGCCGGGGCGTTCGCTGGAAATTCCATGACATCGTTTGCGCCAGGTGGGTGGTGATCTTCTCCTTCGGAGGGCAAGAAGGTTTGTTAACAAAGTTAGATCGCAATGTAGGGGCTCCTGAATTTGCAACAGCACCGCCCCTCGATCCCTCCGTACCGTGGGATGAATTCACCACGATTCCAGCAGACGGTCAAATGTTGGCAAACATGTCGGCAGGGAAACCACAGATGGTGAACATGCCTTCCAATGTATGGAGCCCGGGACCTAACCCCATGGCCACCATGCCAATGGCACATGGGCTTCCGACCCCGACAGTCCCATCACAACCGCAGACGCTCAGTCCCGCGCCGACGTATGCTATACAACCGGATGGATCAGTATGGCAAGTGCCCCCAACACGACCTATGACCTACCCTCCGCCACCAGACATGGCTGCAGCACCATACCACAACCCCGGCCAATTCCAGCAACCTCCCCCGGATATGAGCTCCGATATGGCCAGCCCAGTACACCCTTTCCCGGGCAACCACGTTAATCCGCAGAGTCCTCCACCGACGGACCTTCAAGGGACCCCGGTTGCAGTAACGTATGCTGGTACCCCTGCAGCAATGGGATTTCCCGCCTGGCAAGACGTGAACAATATGTCGCCCATGAACGTCGTTCAGTATCAAATGTATGCCGGGGACGCTGCGCAACAAGCGTCGTTCGGCAGTCCACCCCCAATGGGCCACCCGGGCCAACGACAGTCTCCCCGGTGATGAACTAGCACGTCGGCATTGATTTCAGCAAGAAAAAAAGAAAAGAAGCTTCCGTTACATAATACCCAGTGCGATCTTTTTTTTGCATCTATTCTTCGTCTACCCTCCACCTTTCTATCGTGGGCATTTCCTTTACAGCTATTCATTAGCGGGCGCAAAGGATTTTGGGCGGCATTTTCCATCTTCGTTTCTTCCGTGAGACCCCTTTCTACACATGTATTTGAGGTGACATTTGTACACAAGGGAACAGTTAGATCTCTGATGTCATTGTCCTCATTCTATCACTTCAGCTCAGTTTTTTTTTGTCCTATTTCTTTGTGTTTCATCATTGGATATCCATGTCTGGTTTTACGAGCTATGTTGTTAGAGCACCAGCGGGACAGGTGTCATTGATAATAAGTCTAATGGTGAGGGTAGACGTTTGGCCAACTGGGCCCGTGGGCAAAGTGATCTAGGTACACTATGCGTTGACTCTCGTCGCCACAATATGATCGACTAGTTGCCAAACATGACTACCAAGCAGCGATTCACTCGTTTATATCCCATCCCATCTGAGAGCTGAATTGTCACCTTCGTTCATTCCCGGTTGGTGGAGAATGACTGGTGGACCTGAAAGGTTACTATGGTTTTACGTCTCTTGCTTGAGCCTTTCTTTTTGCATTATTATTACCCCCTCATGGACTGATTCGACATGTCCCTGTTGACGTTGATATATTCTTTTCTTTCTCCTTCTTATCTTTATCTATCATCTCTTCTGCCACATAGACTTTTTCTACCTTCCTTTTCTCTTCAACGAAGTATAGATTTCTGCTGTATGGACGGATATATCACAGATAGACATGGCTTGATAGGACGATAATGAAGATGACATCTATAGAACTGACGTTCATCTTTGGTCGAGTATGTTACGTCTTTGGTAGTCCTGATGGGATGGGACACACATCTAAACATGTTGAGGAATCAATCACACACCAGAAGTATCCATGCTTGACATTATCAAAGCCTTATCCCCATTCCATAACAATACAGCCAACAACGATCATAATACAACTCCAACGCCATCCTACCATCCAAGACATAATCACACAAGATCACAGGATTCAGGGACCACGGATCAATCCTAACCTAGCCCCCCTCCATCGGTACTCACCACACCACACTAGATTAATAGTCCAAATCGTTATCCCAGCATATTGGTCTATTGAGGTCCCGTTTATCTGACAACAAAGATAAAAGAATCCCTTTTGTGGGTAACTACCAGTATTAGTTTTATATTAGTGTTTACGTCCGATACTTCAACACCAGCCTCTGAGGTGGTCGCAGATGCTGATGGTAATGTCAAGGAGGAGAATGCCACACTCCAGATGCTGTCGGTAGTAGATTAGGTAGATGGCCGATAAGGTGTAGGTGTCTGTGCGTATCTCGGGGTAGGGTGATCAGGATGATACTTTAGGGTTATCGTGGAGTTCTTAGCTTTATGTCAAGATGCCTGTTTCGGTGTACTCTGTAGAGTGTTTGGGAAAGGGGGTTAAGTAATGTAGGTAAGCCAGTGTAGATAGTGTGTTTGAGGAGGAATCGATAAGACATATTGCGTCATTTAGGATAAATGTAGGTACTAATATCTTGTGGTTTTAGTCTGTAGCCCGGCTGCTTCGACATCGACTAGTGGCGGTGAAGTAAAGTAGTACATTTGATCAAGTCAGATACTGACGGGGTTACTCTGAACGACAGCAATCAATTAACAAGTTAGAGGACGTAGATGACCTCTTGGTCCGGGGAAGGTTTCCTCTTATTTAGCCAACGTACACCGAAACTTTACCCTTTTTTCGCCAGATATTGGTACGCTTGTGCATGGAATCGGGGGAGAAGATCTTGCCCAGGACTACAATGACGTGATATCCTAGCAATATATGTACTAAAGTTATACTTTTTCAGGGCCATTGACGGTGATACCTTATTCTATGCCTCCCAAGATTAATGTGCAGCTCATTTTACCGGATCTGCCAATGATGACTGCCTGCTACTTATCGTAATGCAGACTTACGTGACAGGGGGAGGGTATGAGTTCCATGTCTCCGCGGGGCTGATGCTAACTGACTGGCAGAAGATAAGCCGTTGAGACGCATTGACGCTCCGAAGAGGTTTAATAGGCGGTGCTTTGCAGCGATGATGGCTCTAGAGTGGAAACCATAGACCCTATCAGCTCAACACGCCTTAAGACGATAAAGGGAAAATGCCCTATCCGGGGTTGTTTTGCGGAGAGTGATGGAGACCTGGAGACAAATAGCCTCAACTTATTATCGTAGTTTACGTAGGATGGGGAACAGGGGGAGGAAGGGAGAGATAACGGTTGTCGAGGATCCAAACATTCCGTTTCATTTGATTTGCCTTGCAGGAATGTTGGGGCTGATCCTTTGAATGTAACCGTTCTTATCTCGAACACCTGCAGGAGGTTATCACGGTTCATGCCTGAAGGCCGACGGTCGGCTTTGTTATGTTTGACCCCAAGATTTTGTACAAAAAGTCTGCTCCCCGTCCCCATTGGACTGACATTGTCGCGCATTCTCTATCACGTCTTTTCACTGTCCCGTTGGGTGATGATACATACAAGTGATCGGGCCACAAAGGCCATATATAACTCGGAGGTTGTCCACAGGGTTATTTTATATCTCTCATTCCTTTCCTGATGCATCGAGAGATTAAAGTTCTTTCAGCGCAAGAAGTGAACTTTGCGAGAGAAAAGTTGACTGGAGAAATGCGCGTAATAAGTATGCTATCTCCACGTCCTCGTCGTCAAAAGCTATACTTCTTTCGGCCCAACGCTACCACACTCGATTGAACTTGAAAAAAAAAAAAAAAAAAAAAGAGGCAACCACGATGAACTTGATTGATGGTTGGGTAGCTGCCTGAATGAAATCCATTCCCCTCTCCTTTTTGTATCTAACTTCGCTCAGTGGGTTGATCCATTTTAATCCGCATTGACTTCATCTTGTCGTCCCTGTTGCTTGACACAGCCCTCGCTACGCGTGCTCTTACTGCATTCCTGCATGAGATTATTGCCACTCTAGTCAATTACCACTGCAGGGGGGGGGGTTTGTTGTCGTCTTTGCTATTTCCGGAGTATCCGCTGGACCCGCGAGAAAAAAGATGGAAAGACTTGCATCTGCTTCTCGCTTCGAAGATAATGAAAGGGGATGATCGATCATAGATAGAGTGATTTTACTATCGCTATTTATTGTCATTGTCAGGGATGATGATGATGATAACAACAATCACTATCAGGACCTAGATGACCATTGTGGCCGTCATGATTGAACGCCTCGGACAAGCGCATCCCCACATCGCCAAACCCTCCCAGACTGGGGTTGAACGCTATCTCCAGATGGGGCGATGTTGGTATGGACTATGGACAATGGTGCTTGACTGCGCCATCGATGTCTGTCTCCCGGCATCCTTTGTGACGCACTCCAACAGATTTGCCGACATTCTGACCCGCGTTGGCTACGTCACACCTCTGTCTCTGTCCATTGTTCTTGCCCGCCCTTTGTTCTTATGGTCGGGGGCAATTACTATGATCTTCCTCTACCGCGTCATCCAGAAGTCGGTCTATCTCACTAACCATTGCGATAATGTCCCTGTGATTGGTGGGCGACCCTCCGTGATTAGTATTACCCTACTACTTAGTACTAAGTCACTGCCAGGAGATGTCCATCTGTTTGCCATTGCGATTCCGACTGTAACTTGCAGGCTACTTCCACCCTTGGCGACGGCATACTTACCTCGATGGGTTAGCTCAGGCACGCGACACGCCTCAGTTGATTTCTACTGGATTGTCCCAAGAACCCCCCGCCGGAAGCCTTCGCGATGCATCCGGACCAAATAGGGACCAACCCTTAAGGTCTCGTGTTGCGTGGCGTGGCGTGGTGTCGTCTTCCATTCTCATCCTATACGCTGACATGCTTCGACGGAGAGAGAAAGAAAAAGGGATTCTCAGCATTTAGTCGCGTTGAGTGGGTTGATCTTGAACGGCAATGGTGGTCTTTTAGTGGTTAATCTGCACGCCACTTGCCCACTTCGTTGCGTTTTCTTTGATCTTGGCCTGCAGCCGGTCTCTCACACTTGAACTTTATCCCGTTGGATTGTTGGAGTTTTGGTTGCTTTTGCCACGCCCACGGGACAAGGCTGACGTCGTTTTTCATTCTGAATAGGTTTCTTTTATTGTCGGGCAATTTTGACCCTCACGCGATCGATTTGAGGAAAAAGGGAAAATACAATACAATAAAATAAAAACCCCAAACCCAAACCGAAACCAAGGATCTGAAACCAAAAAGGGGGAAGAAGACGTTAATTATCCGAACCTTGAGTTATTGACGCTTCTGAGTATCCCCGAGGAAGAGCCGACATGCATCTCTGCACTTTAATACGATTCTAACTCACCTCGGTCCCGATCGACAGATACCCATTGGCTGCGATGACCAAGTCAAATTACAGGCTTATCAGCTTATCGCCGTTATCTCTCCAGGTTATCGTGGTTGCTATGTGGGCAATGGAATTAATATGATTATCAACCACTAGCGCGGTGGACCTCGCGATTGTGCATCCCGTGGGGCCGAAAGACAACGAAAAGCAAAATGGAGGAAAACAAGGAAGACACACCACTGGCTCGACGACGGTTGCTTAGGGAGGTGCTAACTGACAGCTGGTTCGAAAAGCTGTCTCTACCCCGCTATTCAGTGCACATTTGCCGTTCACAGAGCATGCACTATGCCTGATCATCCCGCGGCTGTACCATCCCCTTCACAGCCGTTATATTTTTTTTTTTTTGTTTTTTCCTTCCAGACAGTCTTGATCCTCTTGGCATGCTCGCCTCGACAGATTGGGTCCTTTATCGTCTGGGTGTATGAAGCTGCATTTGCTCGTGCGCATAGCTTGCTCTCTACGCTATTCTAAATGGCACCCACAACTGGGTGTTGGATGGTAGGTATGGTAGTGGTGCTTACATTCACTACGATCGGGTAAACCCGACATCTCAGGACAAGGGGATGGAGCAACTACTGCATGCGTTGCAGCTTGACACCAACCGTGAAGACTTGTCTGGCTGAAATTAATCCCGACTGAAGTGCATCTATCCGGACTGGGCATCCAGACACAAGACAGAAGCGACGATCGATCGTTGCTACTACCTCGAACAAGATGACAGACACCCCCACCGAGAGTGGATCCGAATTCATTTGAATCGTGGATGCCCCTTGCTTATTTCTTCGTTTAGTGGACATCATAGGACAGAAGAGGCTGTAGACTGCGTAGACTGTCTAGCATGAGGGAGAGAAAAGAGGCTATAGGCATCGGGCCCTGTACTTCCCTAGCGTCAGGTCGGTTACAGGCATGAAACGGGATGACCATACTTACGATACCGCAGGCGGGAACCGGATGGATACACAGATCGGGTAAGATAGGAATGGAAACTCGCCGGTGAGACGAGGCATCCTACACAAAATTCGATTGATACAGCTTCATTGGTTTCCCAATCCGTCGTTGGGCCCCAGTGGCATTGACGATGATTTCGGCAGTGTCATTGCATAGACTCCGATCATTTCGCGGGGAGGGTAGAAAAACGTTTTACATTCTATTCATCATCTACTAAGATTCTATTGAAACCCACCAATGAGCGGATGTGATTTATAGAAAGGCAAAAAAGTACCATTGTCGATGCCTTGATATACTAAAGTACATGGAAACGAGGACGACTAAGGATAAACTCTAAATCTGGCAGTCAGCCATGTGCAGGTGGCTCCAGTCTTGTAATTTATCCCCAAGGGCCGAACGAAGGAGAGAGGTTCCTGTCTTCGGAGCTCGTCCGGACCAGACGGGTTGCCCGAGTGCTGGCGTTTGATTGAGTCCGCCCCGCCGGTAGCGCATGGGCCCTTTTCGCCCTAGAGGGTATCACCTCTTCTCTCAGTGGTAGGCCAGTACCCGATGCCATCGAGCCGGTCTGTCATTTCTCCTCTCTGCTGATTGCTCCGGTCAAGAATGGAGTGGATATGATGAAGGAATCCGATGAGCGGAGAGGTCGCTCAATCTTCCGGAAGCGTACCTTGGCCCTAGTAAGAGAGAGAGAGGGAGAGGGAGAGGGAGAGAGAGCGTGTGGATGTTTCCCCCCCCCTTGTATGCATAATACGGGCTGTTATACGTCGACCGTGGATATGGACCATGAGCCCAAAGGTCGGCCCGATGGATGGTCTGTGTAATTATATGCATGCAAGAAGCATTGTCCCACGATTCAAGAACCCGCCTCCGATATTTCTGTTCTGTACTCCGTACCCCGTTGAGATTGTTCCTCTGACGCTTTCTTTCCTTGATTACTTTGTCTCGGTCAGAAGCCGAAGGCTTCGTCGTCGCATATCGGCCGGGTTAGTAAGATCTTATTCATGAAGGGATTTTTTGTCGGTTACCATTGTTCTGGTCCCTGAACAAAGGATTCAAGAGACATTCGGAATGCTCCCTCGGCCTAAATCCCTTGACCCATTGATGGTGTATGGGTACGATGTTCGGGATGTAGACTACCAACCAGAGAGTGTGATTAGGGTGCGGTTCTCAGTTCCATTATTTTGCATCTTTGAAACAGACCATCCGGCACGGTCATTGGCGGAGTTTACTCCCAAATACGGCCGAACGGGTACTTTAAGTGGAATCCTCGAATTTGGATCTAAGCTCATGAAGGAAAAGTACTACTAATCCGTACCTGTGCCTAATGTTAGTGCTAGTTCATCTGTTACATTTTAACCGTCGGTTAAGAAAAATGGATCCGTTCAGGTTTTAAAATAACTATGGAAATAGTTTTAGATTTCCCGACATAGTGGTTGGGATGTCTGGATTAATCCTAGGTACATCAGGCTCAATTGTTCTCGGATTTTGGGTTTTTTTTTTAACGAAACATGATATAGGTCAGGATCATGGACCACAGTCCGCCAGGGATCAGGGTATGGTTACATGTGAAGGATTCTGATTATTATCATGATTATGTCAAGACTTTTCCTCTCGTGAAGAGCAAGTAGAGAATCCTTACGGGTCCAATTACCTTTAGCGCGCTGCAGCTTCGAGAACATCCCCGGCAACGTTAAAACCACGAGCTAAAATGGGTCGCCACCGGAAGCACTCGAGTCGAGAGGTCGGTCGGTACGGTATTGGTAATACCTACGTTCCAGGTGGTTTTTTGTCCCCCGTTGGTTTCAGTCGAAGGAACTTAATTCCAGCGGGACCCAATATAATTTTAATGATTCATGATACATCCAGTCATTCATACCGATCCTGCAAGAGTAGTTTTCCTCTGGGAGAGACATAAGACATGGGAGAGTTCAAGACAATGGTCGGGGAAAGAAGAAGAAGAATGAAAGCTCTCAGAAGTGGATAAATCATTCTACTGTAGGAATGAAATTAATTAATGTGAGGCTGCAGTATCCCTGCGTGGATTTTCTCTTCTTACGGCGGGAACCAAAAAATGTTGACGCTGTGATTTTCTGGAAAAGGTAAGGATGTTGAGTTTCCCAGGATTATTACTGGTTCCGTATGTGTATGTGTATGTGTATGTTGTATGAAAATCATTCCGTATGGATACGCCCGTTTCCTCCGCCCAGAACCAGTCCAGTCATCCATCATCCACTCTTTCTCTCTTCCTTTCCACTCTCTTGACTTTCTTTTTTTCCTTCTTCCCTCTTTGCTTTGCTCTCCCTCTCCCAGTATTATTCTTATATCATCGTATCTTCCCCGTGAATCACTTTTGTTTTCCTTGTATTTTACTTTCCTATCTAGGATTGCTCCTCGATTAGCAGCAGCTCTACTTCATTCGGCCATGTGCGTCTAGAGGGTCTAGCCCCTCTCTCTCTTTGCACTGACTCTCTTCTTACCTTAGACTGTCAGCCATACCATAGTATCATCCCGGAATTAAGAAGGGAAGGAAAAAAAAAAGAAATTATTCTACCATCCATCTGGACAAATAATAACAAGAGAAAAAAAAAAACAAGCGAAAGAGGGGCAGAAGGAGGAGACACGATTAAAACTGGGTCTGGGTTGATTCATGACATACATTCGTCGTCTTGAATTTCAATAGGTACGGACTGATGCATTCCACTCGAGCCTTTTTTTTTTTTTTATTTTTTAGCTGCGTGTCCGTCTCCAATGGGCTTCTTTTCTTTTGTCTGTTTCCTTTTCTTTGGGGATAGATTGATTATTACCTGTTTCCTTTTCTATATTGCGGTGGTGGTACGCTTGGGGACCCATCCACTATTATTATTGGAATTTGATTTGGGATTTTGATTCCTGTGACGGATCTCAGACCAAGTGCCTAAACTATAACTGACTTGGACCCCCTTCAGATCCTAGCTTCCCGATTCTTTTCCACCAAACGATTGCTGCATCCTCTTCCTGCACGCAGTGTTCGTTTAGGGCGGGTAGACTCGAATTGATTCCTTGCGCCACGGACCAATCACCCTCTCGACGCTTTCATTCCTGTGTCGAGCTCTTTTTCCCTCGACTCTCATTGCTTGCCTGGCTGATTCTTGAAACCTCTTCAATCGTTCTTATCTCTTCCTCTCCATCCGGCTTGTGATTCCTATCTTTCCTTTTTTTTTTTCCCCTTTCCTTTCTT